TAACCCGTTGACTTCAACACCCGCGTTAACATCCCCTGGCATCTATAGTAAATGAGAAAGACTACAGATCAACTTTCTATTTAAACTTAAACTGACATAAACTTCAGGCAAAATATGCTTACGAAATTCTTGCGCTGATAAAATTCGTTGGCTTGATAGCTCCTATTGTCCTGGTTTGTTTCAATCTGTGGAGTAGAACTTTAAGTAAAGATTAATGTACACTCGCTTCAGTAACGTGGAAACTAAAACAACAATAAAAAAAAATCAGCGAAGAACTAGGATGGAGCAGAATACTTACTGGTATCTCTTGGGCGGTGAGTTCCGTCAGCCGAGCATACACTATTGGGATCCACTCATCGGGTATCAAAATAGACTGGATCAAAAGTTCCAATTCTTGGGTTAAGGAACAGGCATCCTAAAGAGCTTGAAGCTCATCAACGTTGGTATTAAAAGCCATGATGTCAAAAAGTGAATAAAGGTTTTCTCAAACATGCGAACTCAAACTAAGAGTTGTTCCTTCTCTGTCAGCCAGCTGCTTCCTGAGAAATAGTTCTCGTGAATATTGTAAATGTTTTATGTCGATGTTTTGCGCCTGCTTTTGGTTCAAATTGTTTGGTCAAGAGGAACCGGAAACCTATCCTGAGTGAGTGAGTGAGCAACACCTATGTGAGTGAATGAGTGAGTAACACCTATGTGAGTAAGTGGGTGAGGGCCAGGCCAGCAGAGAAACTCGGCAGACCAGTCATCAAAACCAAGACCATGAGTCTCCTATTGCCGGTGATAAGATTTTAGTCCCATTTTTTCTAATTAACTGAGCCCTTCTATAATAATTCTTTGTTCGTTTTTCTAATTCATTTTTGGCTGAGTCAGCTTTACTCTTTGTTCGTTGTTGTAATTAATTTTTGACCGAGTCAATTCTAATTAATTTTTGGCTGAGTCAGCTTTACTCTTTGTTCTTTTTTCCCTGAGCGTTCATTCGACAATCTCAGTTCATTTAGTTTTAAGAAAATCCCTCCCCAGCCTGAGCGTTCATTTGACAATCTCAGTTCATTTTCTTTTTCCCAAAGACACAAGCAAATTACACGCAAACTTAACTTTATTTACATTTTACCTCCCTTCGGTAAAACGGTACAATAACTTTCTTAGTAAATGCAATGAGAGGAACGTATTCAACCGCAAGTCGGCTAAGTCCTTTTCAAAGCACTTTTTTCTTATTTACAAACTGGAACATATCAGATCCCTAATGAATCTGGTCCAACAAAGTTAACTTGATAATCTCGAAAGAACCAGGCAAATTCTAACTTTAAGTGTGCGTAGGTTCGCTCAAAACGTTCAATCATTGTTTGAATAGCAGGAAAAAAAGGATTGTCCACAAGCTTTACATCATCGATCGTTACATTTAAAATTGTAATACGAAAATCAGTGGTCTGCCTATTGATTTCGATCCACTCTGTAAAAGGATTTAGCGGCGAAAAACGGATACCTTGCATCACTTTTCTAAAAAAGACCCAAAGATTGGATTACTCTGTGTTCAAGTGCCTGACGTCTTCTTAAAATTCCTGTACCCCTATATAGCTTAAAGATTTTGCGCCGTTCCATTTCAAAATTAACTCTTTCGTAACGGTCATATCTCATTTGACCCGTCACAGTCAAACAATCAACTCCAATTCTGAGACACTGTGAACAGACTCCTTCATGAAACGAAAGCCATTGGGCCGATCTACAAAAATGACGCTTCTTGATTTGTCGCAAACATTTGCTAAAGAGAAACAAAACCGTACATAAATTCTAAGCGTCTACGAATTGGCGTATAGTAAAAACGGCGAATTAAACGAGCCTCTTCATTTTTATCAACAAATTTCTTTTGCCTTTGCAAACGTAAACCGTCTAATGTTTACTGTGTTGTCCCAATTCTTTTACATTGGAAACACTTAGGAATCTTTGCATTCATGGGAATCCATTCTGTTTTATGACAATACATGGCCCATCTTCGCTGTTTCAACTGATTCAAACAATTTCTAAAATAAAACATCAACAAGCGCGTTTAAAAACACGTTTTTACAGTTCAATCATACAACATTTGGTCTTCATACTTAACCATGTGCAATCTCTAGTCCAAAACAGGGATTTCAGAATAGGCCTAAAACGGAACATGAACTAAAGTAAATCGTCGATTTGTTTCCACAATCGATTTAAAAACGTAACATCGCTCGGGTAAAAGTTTGAGTTTGAAAAGAAGGCTTGGATAAAACACAAATCTGCGTAGACGAAACTGAAATTGACGCGGTGTTGTTCTCTATACTTATTTCTGTCTTCGATGTACTGCTGGGCTTGAAGTTCTTTGGCGATCGGATGACAAGGCACGAGAAACGTATCGGCCATTAAACCCTTGTTAGGGACTGCTTCCAAGGCGAGCTGATACAAAGTCTTCATTTTGTGCAACGGATATCTTGACACTGGGATGAGCAGAGCAAAATGACTTTTCCAAATTCACTCTTCCTTTATGCTGTTCATGTGAGATTCACGCACATTGGCGCGGAGACAACAAATGTGAAGCGGCAAAAACCAATTAACTTTTCGCCATTCTTTTAAGTTTTTAAACCTTAGCGGTAAAAAAGTTCGCTGCTCTTTTAAGGCGGCAGAAACAATAACCCTTTTCGCTCTTTTTCAAGGAGGACTCTTATGTTTTGCAATCTGTTTTAAGATGAACCAGAAAAAAATTTATTTTCAACCATGGCTTCGCCTTTTGAAACCGAGGGAACTTTCCTAACGCAAGAACAAGCAGACCATATTAACGAGAGGCATGTTTTAAAACATGAACATGTGAGTGCGTCAAAGTTTGAGTCACAAATTGATTTAGTCGATTTGTTAAAGACTGTCTCCGAACTCACCTGGGAAGAAAACAGCGAAGACGTGTTCGTCATACACGAGGGATGGAACGAATATCATGGGCACTTCTATTTGTTCGTGTTTAAACTAAACTGGCAAATTGGTGCAGATCTGGATGGCTTTCCTGCCAAACACCTCGCTGTGTATTACTCTGAGAAAGTACCAGGCGAAAAATGGCAAATAATCTCAGCCTACCCATTTAACTTCGCCTACCATAGTAAATTTCTGAGTAGGAAGAACAGATCCTACTAATTGTCTTATGACAAAACGGTTCTTTTAAGAACCACCACATGAATAAAAGTCAATGACCAATAATAAGAAAGACTAGTTTATTTTGTAGTAAACTTCCGTCTGGAACGGGCTTAGCGCAAAGCCTTAGTACTGACGCCAGGTAACTTTTCAATGAGTTTAAGGTTACCTTTTCAATGAATTTAAGCTTACGGGTTTGATTCTCTCTTTCAGGTCTTCTTTTTTCTAAGACCTAGGAGCAACATTATTTTAGCTGACTCAGCGAGTTTTCATGCAAATTTGAAGCGAACATGAATTAGCATACGAAACCATTCACTGGAACGCGTTTCTTATAAAACTACACACACATTCTAGGAACTTTTAGAATGCTCACGCTTTAAAGGTGTCAATGACTAAGGACCTCGGGGAAGCCTGTCAAGCAGAAATAAAACATCTCAAGGCGGTTATACAATTCAAAGAAACTCACATTCTCACACTCCAAGAGAGAACTAAGACAAGCTAAAACGAGGCTTGGGTGATCATTGGAAGGGGTCGGAAAGAGTAGTCAGTAAAACATATGACGCAATATGCAATGAAAGAAATAAGAATATGTAATGTGTAAAAATATCAAACGCAAAATTACATGTTTAAAAATGTCAATCGCAAAATTACAAAGTAAAGGAAAGGGCAGCTGGTAAACGAGAATATCTGTCCTATATATAGTCTAACAAAGAGTCCAAATTATCCTTAATCTTCTGATTTGGTCTCTTGTCGTGTACCGGTAGTTCAAAGAGCTGTGTCTCTGGATGAGCCTGTCTAAATAACTCCAAAATATGGGCCAAACTTGCATCATATAGTTTGTCTTCGTTTCCTAGAACGACAATCATATCAATCTACAAGATGAAGAAAAAAGCTTAGTGGTAAGCATGAAATAAAACTGAACGGAAATTGATGAACATACTTACCGACACTTGTTGTGTGTAACTTTACAACCGTAAAAGCGAGGATATGGTTTGTTTTCCATAGCAGAAGAAAAACTTTTGTAACTGCTTGAAAACGAAAATGCCACGAACTTTTGAATGTCTGTTCCAAGGGAACTGGGAAGGCGGGTAAATTCTGCATTCATTTTTTTCTTTCTTTCATTGGTCATGAAACATTGGGTCCAGAACATAATGATTACTTGAACCTCAAAAGGTAGCAGGTTGCCGAACGGCTTGTTTTTTGGGTCTACTAAGCCCTTGTATTTCATTGCTTCGTTAGCAAAAACAGCACAACAGAGAGTGTCTTGCCATGTGCTCTGTACAAATGCTAGGTGTGTGAAAAACACTATTGAATAGGCTAAACCAGTGGAGACTAAAAAAATCGCTGGGGAATGGAAATTAACCAATGAAAGAGTTTAGCCAACATATTGAAAACTAAAAGAAGTTAAAATGAGGCTTGGGTGATCATTGGTAAGGGTCGGAAAGAGAAGTCAGTAAAACATATGATGCAATATGCAATGAAAGGAATAAGAATATGTAATATGTAAAAATATCAAACGCAAAATAACTTGTTTAAAAATGTCAATCGCAAAATTACAAAATAAAGGAAGGGGCAGCTGGTAAACGAGAATATCTGTCCTGTAAATAGTGTAACAAAAAATCCAAATTATCCTTAAGCCTCTGATTTGGTCTCTTGCCCTGTACCGGTAGTTCAAAGAGCTTTGTCTCTGGATGAGCCTGTCTAAATAACTCCAAAATATGGGCCAAACTTGCATCATATAGTTTATCTTCGTCACAACCGTAAAAGCGAGGATATGGTTTGTTTTCCATAGTAGAAGAAAAACTTTTGTAACCGCTTGAAAATGAAAATGCCACGAACTTTGGAATGTCTGTTCCAAGGCAACGGGGAAGGCGGGTAAATTCTGCATTCATTTTTTTCCTTCTGTCATTGGTCATGAAACATTGGGTCCAAGCAATACTCGGTACATTTGAACGTTTATTTTATTTTGCAATTCATTTGCCCTTTGTTGTCGGGGATTAGTCGTAATCTTATTTACGTCAATGACTCTTTCACAATCCTTTACCTTCCAGCAATATTTCTTAAACACACTTTTTCTTCTAGATTGATATGGTTGTGACAGAGAACAAGCATGAAAAGAAATTCAACAATGCTCGAATCGCTCTCATTTGAGATTTACTGCGCGCCTATTATGGTCCTTCCATTCCATTGTACCGATATCCAGTTAATGGAACGCAAGGCAATCCAGTCATTTCGATTTATTGGTAAATGGATTTCTTCTTGACTGGCTGATCGCCTGTTATTCCAATATCTCTTTTTGTCTGCACGTAATGACCTTTCGCTTTCCCTGGTACGTTAAGTCTTATTTTCTTTTTCCCTTCCTAATTTGATATCCTTAGCCCGTCTTTTTTCTCAGTTAATTATGAAGACAATTACTTTTACACTCTTTCAACACTCTCTATTAAAATACCTATTACAAGCGGGACTTGTGGTGGAAGCTAAACTTCCCCGCCCATTTCAATCCATTCTTCAAATAAAGTTACATACAATGCAAGACAATTTTCATGCGCTTTTCGTCTATATTCGGCTGTTGCCGTTAAATATTTCCAGTAGTTCAGATCAATTTAGTCATCTATAATTAGTCTTGAAGTTAAAATCCTTAAACAGTGGGCGCACAGTTCGTCAGTACTTGTATTAACCCATTGGGTGTGAAAACAAAAAGCTCTTTCTCCGATTTCCTCTATTGTGCTTCTGGAAATACAAAGGGGTACCTTTCAATTAATGATGCATACACTCTACAAAATTTGACGTAGGCTGCAAACAGGTCAAAGTCTTCTGATCGAGTCCTAAATAGAAGCCAGTGTTCAATACTGATTCCAAATAGTCCAATTCTTAGATTGCAACTAGTACATGACTCCCCTGAATATACCCACAGGGTCACGGGGCAACAAGGTAACACTCTCAGTTCCGCAAGTGTTGGTCTACAAAATAAAAAACACACCATTCGTTTACCATCCTATTCTTTGAATGATCGATGGCCCTTTATACCATTTCAAAAGGGTCTCCTGTTCCCGATTTGTGTCTACATACAAATACATCATTACCTTATTATAGGAAATTAACGCTCCATGAAATTAATGTATTGGAAATTAACGCGACTTAAATTAACGCGAATTTAATGGGAAAGGACTTTCGAATAAAGAAAATTAACGCGAAGGAGGAGGCAGAATTTAATTATAAAGGAAATTAACGCGATTAATTACGCGAAATCAAAGGAGAAGATATTGACATCACTTCTAACAACGACAACGATGAACGTGAACTCAAAATAATAGGGACCTTAAGATTTGAGGACGGCGTCTTAAAATCCAACGTCGTGGCATACAGGGGCCTGGGGAGAGCGCGACGTTCTAGACGCGGGAACTTTGACTTAAGAAGTTCCGCGTAAACAACGAGACGTGAAACTTCTATTCATCTGAGAATTAAGCTGTTTTATATATCATGACGACTTTTAGGAACGCGCGAGACCTGCTTCTGTTGACCTTTTGCGAGGGTTCGATCACGGAAGACAATTTCTGTTGCTTTTACGACCTAAACACTTGAAAAATCCAGAATATCCGTACTGGGATTACAAGAAATTCTGCCTACAAGACAAAGACGAGGCTGAATGCAAGACAGAATTCCGCTTCCAAAAGAATGATATTCCTCTTCTGCTGAATGTCCTTGGATTGCCAGAAAGATCACATGCAAACAGGGGACAGTTTGCAGAGGCACCGCGTTATGTATGTTGCTAAAGCGACTTGCATACCCATGTCGATACAGCGATTTGATGAGCACTTTTTGTAGACCGGTTCCTGAAATCTCAATGATAAGCAATCAAGTTGTTGATTTTATCTTTGAGCACCACAGTCACCGGATCACTGGTTGGAATCACACAGTTCTGAACGCCCATTCATTGCAGATCTATGCTGGCGCTGTCTCGAACAGAGGAGCAGCGCTGGACAACTGTTTCGGCCGTAGATGGAACAGTTCGCCAATTTGTCGACCAGACCTCAATCAAAGACTGGTATACAATGGCCATAAAAGGGTTCATGCCCTAAAATTTCAATCAGTTGTCACGCCAAATGGATTAGTTGCTAATCTTTACGGTCCTGTAGGTAAGTTTTCTTTTTTTAAGTATAGCTTTCACTTGCAAGTTTCTTTCTTACCTTGAGACTGCTTGAGAGGATAGTCCTCAGCTGAAAACCTTGGGAAAAAAATGGATTAAAAAAAAAAAAATCAGGAGCTAATGAGTGATACCTCCTGAAAAAATCGAATCACCTTTTACACACCAACTGGACTAATGATCTGTTGTCTTCTCTTCCACTGTTGCTCTTTAAACTG